TAAAAAAACAGATTATTTAAGTAGCCTTAAGCCTTAGTCCTTAGCCTTAGACCTAGTCCTTAGCCTTAGACCTAGACCTTACCTCCCCTACACCTCCGGACCCTTGTTGCAGTGACGAAATCCTGCCGGGAAAGCGACCTGGATTGTCCAAGAATCTGCCATCCCAATTGATTTACATCTTGGGGCACCCTCTCGACCCGCGCGGGAAAATAAGCACGGTCCAAAATGGTCCTGGGCTCGAATCCCGGGCTGGTCGCGGCATGGTCCCGGCCAATGCCCTTGCTTTTTCGTAGATTTTGTCACGTTTTCTGTTGGTTTATGAGATTTTCAGAGGCTTTTCTTGCATTTTCCTAGGAATGCTCTAGGCTTTGTCTTTTTGGGTACCTGCTTTGGTGGTGCTGGGTTGGGTCTGCACTCTTAAGGCTAAGGCTAAGGCTTAAGGCTAACATAGAGCAAGGCTAGCGCTAAGGTTCTATCCCTTGGGGGTCGGCGGCTGCAGGCGGTAGCCTGGTAAATATGTGAAAACAGAACCCATCGCCACCGCCTGGCAAAGGAACATCCTCTTGCAACCTTTTTTGAGGGTTGCGGTATTGCTCCAATTGACAAACACCGTGGGATGTTTATCAGATTTGGTTTGACGGAGTAGCGGAACTAACAAGGCTATCCAGTATATATAATGTATATGTATGTAATGTAATGTAATGTAAAGCAATGTAAAGCAATGTAACGCAATGCAATGTAATGTATAATGTAATGTAATGTAATGTAGTGCAATGAACATGCAAGCTCTAGACGAACAATGTGGGTGCAAGTCATATGCCCGGGATCTGAGTTGGATTGTGAGACCTACTCTTCTTTTTTCAGGGTGTGCAAACTATGTGACAAATTGTGCCGACATCTTCCCTTAGGATTGGCCAAGGGATCTTGAGGGCCAACCGTTCTGGGTCGCCACTTGTGGATGTAAAGCACTGAAATCTACTGATTTGAGATTTAAGCTCTGGCGGAGCTAGCCCTTTCTGAAGAGTTCACAAAAAGGCAACTCCTATATCTGCTTTCAAGAATGTGTGTAGTATAGAATACCCCTATTCTGAGACAAGCTCACTTGGCTTGTTTCTTCAAAACCATTCAGAAGCAAAAGGCTTCCTTCTTTCAGGTCAGCATCCACTGAGCCCCAGCGGCCCGGCCGCTCAAAGAACCACACGGCCACACCAACAGAGATTGCACCAAGCACCTAAAGAGATCACGTCTGAACCCGAAGCATGGGGACGTACATAAGGATTCGAAAGCAACAAAGAATCGGCTCCCCCTTTTCTTTCCACCCATGCAAGACTTGTTTGTAGGCTCCCTACGAATTATATTGGAAGGAATCAACCGAATCCCAAAGCATCTCGGCTGAATTCCCTGAAAACACCACAAAAGATTGGACCGAATGTTCACTTCAACGACGTCAATCTGCTGAGTGCAGGCGACGACGATCGACTCCGAGCTCCGACTCCGTGGCGCTACTAGGCTGGCGAAATCGAAATACCCAAGATCTTTAAGGCTGTCGTCGTCCACCAGCATCGCGCGCAGTGCAATGGTCGCTGCCCAAAGTCCTAGGAAGAGGTTGCTGACCAAGGTGGATCGGTCGGGGTCCTCTGGGAGCCGCCTCATCCAATAGATTGTGGCCAGTGTTGCAGGGAGGATGCAGAAAATCAGAGCGCGTGAGGGTAGCCTTGAATATGCAAGATGGACCTGGAAATCACCCAATCTCTTCAAAGGTCCCTTTATATAACCCTACCTTCAGGGATGTCTGAGGGACAGAAACAATAACAATATTACAATCAACTGATTCATCAGCATGGGCAGCTTGGACTCATCATTGTCCGGCAAGTATGTAGCCACCAAAGCACCCACTGCACCAACGGCCACAGGAATATTGGGCCATAGCATGCCGGCCATCTGCGGAGAAAGCCATCGGTCGACACCTAACCCCAAAACAGTTTCTTACAACAATCCACCGACAAAAAGCAAAGATCTGCCTGTTCCACCGGTTCCTAAGGGCTTAGGGGACCCTGAAAATCACATGATCCACCCCTGAACCAGTATCGGTAGGGAAGGTTTTGCCCTCAAAAGCCTGAACAAACTCGGCAAGACACAAAGAAAAAGCACAAGGCCGTAGAGGGCAGACAGGACGATTCCAATCGCAGCACTCTGGTCAGCAAAATAGGCCACCAAGCCCCAAATACAGCTTTCAATCAGGAAGGTTGCCACCCAACTGCAAATATCCTTGAATTCACTTTATAAGGAACCTATAAACATGAAGCTTTATAATGTCACCAAAGGATACAAAAGGGACACATAAAAATCACCCAATCAGCCGTCAACAGGTATCCATTGGATCACATTTGACGATGCTTTGGCTAGCTCCTTGCGGGGCAGTGCTTGGCAAGGCCTCGATGAACTCTTCCCAGCTGGAAAAGGAGCGATTTTTCAAATGAAGATTAAATATCCTTCGACTCACTGCAGTCATCCTCGGCTGAAAAAAGCGTAAAGCGAAACAAAAAGCATTGACTGAAAACATGATAAACACCATGCCACGCCCCAAGTGAACCGAGGAATGGCCTGGCAAGAGTATTCACTCTGCTACTCGATGTGTGTTTGATGGCTTGCTTTTTGTGCCTGGTGGATGGTCAAGGCAAGAGTCTGTGGTTTCCTTGCCTGGTGAAGCTCTTGTTCATTATTCTGACGTGCAAATACAAACGAAACTATAATGAACATGTATACGATGCCCAAACACGTTGGACACATCGGCCGGATCTCTGGATTGACGGGGTTGGGTGACCCGGATATGCTGTGTTCAGCTCAGAGAGAGCTGAACCACCAGGATGTTCTGCAAGTGTTGGTTGTACCTAGATTTCGTGATATAGTGTCTTGCAAAGTGCAGAGCTTACTGTATTTCCAGCTGGTTCAGGTTCGCTAGGACGCTAGGACTGCACCATCTCTGCATAGGAGTCTCTCTGGCATGGGTCGGGCCAGCGATTCGCAGTCGTCGACGGTGGTTTCACCATCACTGTTGGAATTCCCCATGGCAAGAGAGTATGTCTCTCAACTTGATTCTTTTAACTAATAAGCCGAAGGCGAAGCGAAAGCACACGCAAGAGACAAACAATGTTCACGACTTCTCAAAGGGACAGTGACCATGTCCTATCTCTAAGAGACAGTTGCTATAAGCAAGCAAACGTAACTGAACGAGGCTATCACAGTACTTCGAGAAAACATCAAATCATATCAAATACATCTAGCTGCAGTCAGAGACGTGAAGAAGCTGAACAGATTGGATACCGCTGCTGTACCTATGTACCTAGAAGTGTTACAGTATGTGTATCGAATAAGCTGGGGCAGGTGGAAAGTGCAAACTTGATTGCTATTTGGTCATGCTCTTGCTTCTACTAATCAAACAATCCTCCTTCTGTTCATTCGCACAGGGCATCTTTCAGGTTGCTTGATTGTTTAGAGATTCGCACACAGATGGCCAAGGTATTTTAATGGTGACACTTTCAACTACCTCTCACCTTGGTCGGCCACCCCAGCGGCTGCACTGCAAGCGGCTGACCCATGACCAATGGCTGAACAGCTTGGGGCTGGATTGTTGAGTTTCCGGGCATTTAGGGTTTACTGCTTTGCTGCAAATAGCAATAACAACCAATCCCAAATCCATCCATGTATGGAATAGTTAGATAATTTATATTAACTAGATACATTGTATATATTATGTACCCCATGAATGACCCTAAGGTAAAAACACACTATATATATATATATATTGCATGCTCTGGGAATGAACCGGCGGCACGGAACAGCCCTGGCGCCTGCCACGGATCCAGGTCACCCGGTTGCCCCCAGGGCAAATCCCGGTGCCTCACCTGGATGGAGCTCGTTTCGCTCGGTCGAAGGGTCGGTCGACGGAAGGTGCCTGGATCAAGGCCTTGACATCACAAACAGTTGTAAAAGAAGAACCAACGGAAGACCGAGCTATGAACTTTCAGAAACGGAAGACCGAGCTCAAAGCCAAGGGTATAGCTAGTTGCGCTTGGACAAGGACATACCAACAGTTGCAAATAGATTTATGTGGAAATAAATTGAAAAAATACATCTACACAGGGTCTGATTATATAATATTCTATATATTGAATGGATACAATATGGTTCGTTTTGTACAATACTTGTGCAGCCTCCAAAAGACTTAGTGGGAGCTGTTTGTATTTTTGTTCAGTTCACCATGAAAAGCAGGAGTCCCAAGAGTGCTCCAAGCGAGATCAGAAAACGCCGTTTCCGCACTCGCTTGCCAGGCCGACGGAAGGGACTGACGATGAAGGGGGGCCACAGGGTGCTTCTCATCGCCGTTTCCACTACCAACTTAACTACTCTTCAGTCGACCATTGGAACATTATGGAACACGAATGATAGGAGTTCATAGGGTCCGACTGCCAGTCTTGTACGAGTAGGATTGAAGGAATTCAAGCCCAAAGAAGTTGTGGCAAGGACACATACAGGTCTATGCCTGCAGTCCCAAGTCTGGCGATATCTTCCAGACCCAAGGACTGTCCAGAACGGGCTTACGACGGCCGCGGTCCGCGGGCGTCGTTCAAATAGCTCAGATCGCCTCGCCTCATCGTAGATGTCGCGCATGACCTGTTGGAGCGAAAGAACAACTTTCCTTTCATTCGCCAGGTCACGAAATAATGGAAATAGGTCTGATTCTGAGTGTATGTGTCTTAAGGGAAACCACCAACTATAATGGGTGTTGCTTCTTCCAGGGGGTTCTTTGGAGGTCTCCCTATTTTCATAAATGTCCTTGAACAAACCCAGCAAGCAAACTGGACCAGCGATCAAGCTACCAATATCTGTTAGAGGAATACGTACTCATCTTCCAGACGCACAAACAGCATGAAGATGGAAGGGTTCAGAAGGGTATGGATATCGTTATAGGGGCTTGGGCCGGGTTTGGGATGATGGAGACGTTCAATGGTTTCACTGGTTCTCCATCACCATTCCCCTCTGAAACCACATTCCCACACCGTCCTCCAAGCGAAGCTGAAAGTCTGCGAGGGTCCATGTAGCGGCTAAATGGCTCCTCCCGCGGAGGCCACGGGGTGGAGGCCCACGCTGGCCGCAGAAAGCACGTGTCCACAGGGTCCGAGCGGACCAGAAAGCCGGCAAGACTGTCACTGTTTGAAGTGGTCATCGATGTCCAAAAGAACACATGGTCTAATCAAGGTGCTTCGGCATTGTTCTAGAGGCGGTGGCCGACCAAGACCACTCTGTGATCTGATTGATATAATGTCTCTGTGTATATCTTCTGACTTCAGTGAGCCTGTCACAGGCTGTAAACTCAGCATGATAAGCAAGATTGGCGTTCTGATGAGGATAGCCACTTGTAGTAGGGTACCGTTTTATATGTTTCACCCATAGTGATGATGTGGAATGATCATCCTTGGATCTTATCCAACGCTTTGAGGTTGCAAACTGTCTACAAAATCAGAAGAGTTATTACTGCACTGAGTCTGCGGAAATGCAATTAAAGTCACTGAACCCTTGGCTGGTCAGAAAATGGACCCTCGAAAGACAACCGACATCTTTGTCTAGAAACCAGCCATCCTGCGGTTCTATGCGTTCATCTTTTGCAACATGCGCAGCACCAGTCGGGACAACAGGGAACACAATTTGTTGGGAGAATGCAAGTGCCTTGGAAAATGGTTCCAAGCTATTACCGTCGGCGTAGGGCCTTTTTGAATCCACTTTTTGACACCGATGAGAGGGTCTCTCACCAACTTCAGCACCTGCTTTGGGGCGGTGGCATGAAGATTTGGTCTTTGGTAGGCAAATAACCTTGGTTAAAGGCAGTGATATATTTATAGGACATCGAGTGCGGCATGATTTAACCAAATGATCATTTCCTGACTTCGATGCGTCCTCTCTTCACTGCCTTCTGGGCCTGAGGGACCAAGCAACCAAAGGGTTTGATCATCCGAGCTCTTGAGCTGTCTTTGTAGTCATGGCTTACCTATATGGAACTCCATCAAAACAAAGGTCACGGTAGATGTATGTAGATGTGTTATTCCAGTTGTTGTGATATAGCTGATGTATCTTGATGTTCGATTCATGGCTTCAGCTATCTCATAGAACAATGGCTTCCAGTTCGCTCGCTTCCCAGGCCGAAACGTTCTGAGCTCCAAGCGCTCAATCTTCGAGACCACCACCGAAGGCTCCTGACAAACTGCAACCGACGGTTGAGGTCCGACACTCAGTATACGGTTTGGTCCTATTTTACAACTTCAAAAAAACGAACTAGCCAGAACGTCTTCCGGAGATTTCGTACACATGAGTGACGGTCAAAACTCCTTATTCTTCAAGGAAAAACATGAACGTCATCGGTGTTGAGATGGACCTTATCGTTTTGCAGGGTTTTGCGCACAAACTTACCCCTCTTTACTAAAGTGGTCTTCGCATGTTTTGACCGTAGCTCACATGTAATCACATGTACTCCTTTAGTCCTTGGTCCTTTGTAAAGTTGCCTACCTCAATGGAACCTAAACACTTACCAAGACTTGCCATCAGGCTGGTTCCCAAAAGAAACACAAATAGCAACCCAGGTTCCTTCTCCAGTACCTCAAAACTGACACGGGCCTCCAACTACATCCTCAAAACCTTAGGACCCTCTTGGGAGGCCGTTGGATTTTCTCGTAGAGATCGTTGGATGGAAATCGTATATACCGGACGAGGACGAGTCGCGGTCGTCGCTTCTTCTCCTCACTCTCGAGGGGATCCATGAGCAAACGGCCCTGGCAGCGTCCCAAAAAGGGTCGAGGGATGTCTACACACCCTAGACTCTATAGACATTCCACAAACATACCTTCTCAGGTTCGGTACAGCTGGACCCTCCAAAGCTTTATACATCAAAGTGTTGAACACATCACCTTCTCACAGTCGGGTATGTGGATCAATCGGGAAACTCCATGACTTTGAGTGAGCGCATCCCTATGCTCAGATCGAGATACCTTTTGACTTCTTTCAGGGAGAGCCTGGATACCCGTCTCGATGCGTCCGAAGCCCCTGAAGGTCCAAATCCCAAGCAGTCCATATGCTTCCATAACACTTCATCGACGGATTCCATATGATTCCATATGATTCCATCCATTTCATCACCATGTTTTTTGGCTGTATGGATGGATATGGTCCATAGACATAGACATTCATCAACTCCTCAAAATCAGGATCTCTTCTTGCACCTGACGACCTGGTCACAGGCAGCTGCTAGCTTGACATCCACATGGATGTGAGGAACTCAACCTCCCCCATTAAATCCATGGAATCCATGGTAATGTAGAAGACTCTTGATTAATACAACCCCCAGATGAATTGAACATCCTCTTCAAAGGAAGGGTAATAATATTCCAGAGTCTACATTAGCTTGACATCCGGAACATTTTGGGGAATCTCTTCACTTGACCCGGGTCAAGCAGGCTGCCCCTACTGCCATTGACCCACCGCGCCACCGGGCCTTGAAGCTCACCTCATCCAAGCCCCGCAGCTCGACGGTGAGCTCGTTGGCCTCGAGCTCCCGCACGACCGCGACAGGTGAAAGCAGAGGTTCCCGGGGGAAGCGGAAGGGAGAGCTGCCGTCAATGTATAGGATTCATTAATGAACCTCTCCTAGTTACGTACTCCGAGCCACAACAGGCACGATTTGAAAGTAGTGATTGGTTGTTAATTTCCTCCAAGAAATAAGCATGGGGCTGTTAGAACCACCCACCAGTTAATCCGAGCCACGCAACCAAGTCAACTTTCTAGTTCCATCTGATTAACTAGGAGAGGTTTATGCATCATGCTGCCATCCCCATCTGCTTCTGCTGCAGCTAATCAGCTAATCTCTGTGTGAACAGAGGTCTTTGCTCATTGATGGCTTGGCCTTTCTGATACTTCTCATCAATAGGCCCGCCAGTTATCTTCTGATTGTTGTTCTTCAGCTGGTCATGCGCAAGGTTCAGGGGTTTTAGATGTCCGTTTTAGAACACATACAGTACAATCATTTGAGAAGATCACAAAGGGCACCCCCCCACAAGGG